GTCTTACAGTTTTAACGTTCGAATACCTGACGAACCAAGCAAGACTATCCGATAGCAACCCTTATAATGATTTAATTTGTATTGCACATCTTATTATTTATAGTAAGATAATATGAATTTTATACAACTAAGGTATGAAAAAATCTTCTTACGGTATTAACTCTAAGAGTATTTTCTATAATTATGAACAATAATACTGAAAGGCATTCCAAGTTTTACAGGATAAACAAATTTAAAACAAGGTTGAAGAGGTATAGAAGGCTTAGAAATATATTATTAAACTGTTGAATTGATAATAATAAAGGCAAAAACATAGTAAAAGAAAAGTCCTAATATGAGAAGATTTTTGTGGTTTTTGCATTATATTTTAATATTTATACTACATCCTTAAATTTAAAGAAGACAAACATTTTAAATAAGAAGAAAGCCAATCGAAAGACCAAAAACACGTTTTTATTCGTTGTTCTGAAGATTAGTGTACATTTGTTTCAAGTAAAAGACCAGAATGTTGGTAAATTCTTAGTTTATAGAATGCCCTTCCCGAAGTGACTATATCTCTCGCCAAGAAGTGGGGACGCCTTTTTTGTACCAGGCACGACGTTTTTTTGATTTCATTATTTATAGAATTCAGAAAACGAGCCCTTATTATATTATGTCGCTTCGTTACCTTCTTTTAAAGTAATATCAGCTGCTTAGAGACGTTGACTGAGACCAGACATCTGTTTTGTCCCTAACTCTAGAATATATTGAGACTTTACTCAGAAAACTATCTAAGTGCAATCAACCTTCCGCGCTTTTTAAGTTATAACATTTTTTTTTAACTTATACGAAACTTTTTTAAATTTAACAGTACAACTAGAGGTTTATAAAAAAGTTTTTTTATTGAAATTTTCATAATGCGAAAGGATAGTCGTAGAACTCTAGTATATATACGACCAAAGGTTAGAAGAAACCTAGCTACGTATTTAGGCCAGACGGAAACCGCTCCTTGCGTTAACTACACTTACATATAGATATTAATTACATAATTAGCATTAGGTACTTACAATATATTACAAGACCACTACTTACTAACTACTGAATGATCAGAGGGCCAAGTGCGAGTTTACTTCACATCGACTCGCTCTCTACGGCGAGCGCGTTTAGCGTTGCGATTGGTGGATATTTCAGTGCGGGCCAATCGTAGCGCCGAACGCGGTCACCGTGACGATCGAGTGGAAGTGAAATACACTCACACTTGGCCCTCAGCTTAAAATAGTAGCAGCTCACAGTAGTTGTGGGCTCGAATCCTGTCTTCAACACAAACATTTACTATATAATAATGAACAATGTTAATAATATTTAGTGAATTATATTATATGTAATTAGTATTTAATAAAATTAATGAAATATATCCGTGTTTAATAATTATGATAATATTAATTTGTGTTATCTATTTACTAATATTGTAGAACAAACAAACAAAAAATTATTATATGACTTTTAAGCAATTTCATAAACAGTAATAACCTACAGTAGGTTTACTTAAACTACTTATCTTAGATTGTAGTAACACTACCATTACCTATTTAACAGTTGGTTGCGTATAAGTGTCGCAAGGGCCAATTAAAAAAAAAGAATTAAAATAAAAATGTTTATTAGAATAAATATAACATAATAACAAAAAATTGTGTATATCATATCTATACTAAAAATATAAAAGCACACGATTTAGTAAATATAAATAATATTTTAGGTGTGTGCAGGAGACAGAACAGTGGCGCGAACATTATTGAAAGCATACCTACATCTCGTCAATGCTTGTCACAGATCAGCCCCTGAATGTCAATATTGGTTTTTAAATAATACCCGGTGTGTTATTATAAGACCACCAAATTAAATTATTTGTGAATTCAACATACTTTCGGCGACCGATCGTGAGACACTAGATTGCACGCTCTGAAGAATATTCTATATAACTACACAGAAATATTCCTGCCATAAACTTCTACCACGCTCATACCGGACAACTCGCATGGCCTCCGATTGTTCAGGTGACATACTTGTAAATGTGGCGCCATCTATGTAAACTTGTAGGTAACTAACACAACCAATAAAATTAGGTTATTAAAACATCACACTGCACATGGTGTACTCACCCGTCAATATACTATTGAACTTCTCGCACTAGGAATGTATCCTGTGTCGCGGGGGACTTTACAAATATACATGAAACGGACACAACTCAGAACAACAATTTTTGGATTACAAAAAGTGTTGATCGAACCCACAACAACAACTACAACTACGCCATCCGTGCAGTCGATAACCGTGAACTGATATTAAAACTGTATAATTTAACACTACTTTTTTGGGTCTGCATTCAAGTCTTCTTTACATTAGCTAAGACAATGAACTTTACAAATAACATTAATGATGTAATGAAATATCCCGGGACATTATCGAAATAACTTGGCAGATCTTGTACCTGGGGTTACAATTCCAACATGCGGATAAACATACAGTATACAGATAGATACAAATTTATTATAAATTCATCATATTTCATAGAACGGCAACCGAACCCTACCGTAGCTGTAATCACCGTATCGATAGTGACAGTATGCTAAACATGTTCGTACCCCTCGTCTGCGGCACACACCCAACACCTCAATCGTCCAGCGCCAAGAGTACGAGTAATGCTCCACTCATACAATTATATATCTATACACTATATTAGTTATCACCGTTCGTCGTTCGTACAAAAATATTGCTCTCACGCCTCGGTCCTTTGCTTGCTGACATTTGTACAGAACTAGTTGTACTTGTACATTTTATGTTGCCTATTGTGTACAGAGTGCTTAGCGTTGGTAGTAATTACTAAACGGTTCAAAGAGCTCTGAGTATCTTTAAATAACTTTATGGTTTGTAGAACCTAAACTAGAATTCCATTTCTGGGTGAAACATTATTCACACATCACATATCTTCATTATCTAAAATTAGTTTTTCATTGGTACTGTTAGTATGTAAAAAAACATTTTGTTTTGAACCGTAATAGTATTTACTCATATTTTATGACCGTTTGTGTATATGCGTAATCTTTACATCCATCCTTATGCTAGTTCTAAGAGAGTAAAAATGTGTCTAAAAGTTACAATATTTTACAAATACTACGAGGATTACACATATATATATGTTTGTATATAGGCCACTTGAATCACAAGCATCGATCACACACTTTAACAGTCGCTCTGAAATGTTACTTATTCAATAAGGTACAGGCACACTAGTTTATATATTTTGAAAAGTAATATATATTTCAAAAAGATACAAATTAGACGAATATAGTATCTATTGAGGCGAGAACTTGTTTAGTTCACAGAGAACATGTTTGCCTTACGAGTGAAATTATAAAACAAACAAAACAATTGATTTTAGTACCCACTGAACATGTTGTATTGACATCATTTGAATGCAATAAAATCCTTTGTCCTTTTTGAAAGCTAATTATCATAATACGAATCCTCAGAATAAAAGCAACTTAACTTAAGATGCCAATTAGAGGAAAACAAGCAAAAAAAAGTCTTCAAGGGCAACAATTGTTACTTTTTGCATTGGCTTTTAAAGGTCGGTTTATAGCAAGGTCAGAAATTCTAAGATTTTTTAGTTAGGCCTGTTTAATTGTAATGTGTATTGCCTGTGTAATTTGTATACAAAATCAAGAGCACCAATAAAATGCTACCAACATATGACACATTATATATTATTGAACTTGAGAAACCTCAAGACATACAGTCTTGATACAATATGAACACTACAAAGTGTCAGAAGACATAAGGACCTACACTACAACTATAGTTATAAAGCACTATAATGGCACTTTCTCAAATCACACTTCAACTATCACTATTCAATTACATTCACTTCAATGTAACACAAATTCGTTGTAAAACAAATTATGCATTAAATAATCATCATAATTTTATACACCAATGTTTGTCAAGTCGATTTATATAAAAAGTGACATTGTGACGTTCAAATCAATTACAAATATAGAACAGATGAATGAGAGGAGGTTGTGATAATCTATTTCACTCGTAATTGTTACCATTTAAAAATAACATTAATCCAATATAATATAGCTCTATAGTAGAAAGAGTTGTCAGTACAGCATCAGAACTGTTCTTAATTTAAATAATTTTTAATTATTTTGTATACGAGAAGAAGAGACCGACACAATATATTGTCTATTGTTAAGAGCTGCCAAATTCACAAACTCACTACGTATGTGTGTGTATATATATATATTTATTTATGATATATGTGTTCCAAAAAAATAGTGTGGATTTATAAGATTTTTATTCAGTTTTCCTGTGTAGGTGTAAGGTTTAAATACATTTTTCGTATTTTTTGTGGTGGACATTGTTTTTGGTATTAAATAAGTACAATTTTACTCATTTCAGTCCTATTTCGTCTCGTTTTAATATTCAATTTGCAGGGTAATTTGAAAATTAATAATTTTTCTATATGACCGTCCTTTGTGTATTGTGTGACTTCATAACTTTATTCTAATACAGTAAACTGAAAGAGCTTTTTATGTATTAGTTTTAACTCGCTAATCTCTGGAATTATTGGTCAAAATTATAGGATTCTTTTTAAATTGAATAGCGCAATTATTGAAAATGGTTATGTAGTATTGTTATTATTAAGCTGATCAGTATAAAACTGTAGGGAACGGGAACTAGCAAAAAGCTCTTTTTATGAAACTATTAAATATATAATATGTTAGTTACAAAATAGATATATAACATATATACGGAGTATAGTGTATTGCAGTACGTACATACATATAAGTAATTACACAAAATTCAATTTTTTAGTTCCAAACTTACAATTCAAGATATCAACGTCGTTACGGAGATGATCACTTAACAAGTAAATGAGTTTAAATTAATATGATGACGATGAACCGAACCCAAGTACAATAATGAACGCTGGGTGTCTACAGTGTACCTGCCCCCTATATCTGGTACCAGGGCGAGCGCCGCACCCAGCGCAGGCGGTAGGCGCCCTGCTCGGTGCGGATCTTGATGGACGCGCCCTCCGCCGCCTTCACCGTCTCTTTCACCTGCACACAGCATTGGAATTATAACTTCACGCGCATCTCGCACACCGCCATCTCATCACAAGCTAAGCAGAGACTGTACTATGGTAACTTGACTGCCGATACACATACTTAAATATTAATAAATACACCCAAAAACAACAACTGATCGTGCTTAAGGGAAGGTACCTAATGGCAAGAAAGGAATATTGCTTTTTTTATCGTATAAAGAAACAATCGAGCAGACGTGTCACCTGATGGTAAGCGACTACCGTCACTAATGGACACCTGCAACTCAAGAGGGACAAGTGCCTTCCCGCCCTTTAGGCACCTCCTCATCAGAATCTCGGAAAGGGGTATTTGGGCTCCAGAGCAAGGCTCTCATTCGGTTAGAGGCCATCAATAAATTACGTCACACGAATTTCATTGTTTTTTTACCCCCACCCCCGTCCTTGTCGCAGCTAGTCACGTTTATAAGGCTACTCACACTTTGCATCAAGTTTTGTGCATTGCCAACCAACATCTCAGTGGCCTCCTGGTCTTCTTCGCTACCTGCAAATAGATGAACATATATTTAGCACTTATTAATATATCGAGTCTGATAATTTTAATATACAATCAAACTAATTAATATGTTAGCACAGCTCATGATATTTCTTGTTGACAACTAACTTTATGAATGTCTCTTTCTGATTGACTCGTGAAGAAATAATAATAACCTCACAATGGCAGTCTGATCTCCTGTACTATAGTAACCAGACTGCCGATAAACATATTTATAAATTACTAAATACCTAGGGACATATTATAGATAAATATACATATTGTTATCATTATCTGCCTACAGTTATCCCAATTTTATTTAGGATCGGCGCAGTATGATTCTTCCATTCTACTCCATCATATGTCATCTCACTGTTTACTCCCTTCCTAGCCATATCCTCACTCACACAGTCCATCCACCTTTTCTTTGGCCTTCCTCTTCTCTTGTACCCTTCAACTCCCATACCTAAAACTTTCTTCGCCACAGTTTTCTCATCCCTCCGCATGATATGTCCATAACAAGATAACCTATTACTTTTTAACTTTTCATCCAGTGGCGCTACTTTCAGACTCCCTCGTACTCATTCTTAACCTTGTCCATCCGTGTCACATCACACATTCTTCTCAGCATTCGCATTTCAGCTTCGTTCAGGCGTTTCTTATCCGTTCGCTTAATGGGCCAACTTTCAGAACCATACAGGACAGCAGGTCTGATGATAGTTTTATAATTTTTCCGTTACCCACCACTTCATCCCTCCCGTATTGATTCGATGTTTCACAGTTCGATCAATCTCATCAGCACATTGTAAGAGGGAGCCGAGGTATAGATAGTTTAACTCAGTTGTGTGCGCGGCCCTGTGTGCGTGGGCTTGTAAATATACAACTTTCATTCGTGTGGCAGTGACGCGGCAGTCGGACGACGACTGCCACAACTGAGTTGAACTATCTATACTTGAAATTGGAGCAACTGTTAAAACCACTGCCACCAACACAATGTCATCTGCAAATAGCATGCACCAAGCTGCCTCCTCCTGTATGTCAGATGTCAGAGCGTCCATTATCAACAAGAGGTCTACAGGAGAAGCCTACAGAGACACTGAATTGATCAGTGTTTCCCGTGACCGACCTTACATGAGTGCTAGACTCTCTGTACATAGCACGAATCAATTCTACATACTTTACAGGCACTCTTTCTTCTTTCAAAGTCCACTATAAAACCTCTCGGGGTACACTATCATATGCCTTTTCGAGTTCCACAAACACCATATGCAAGCTCACATACTTGACGCATTACAAATACAGCATCTAATGTCTCGCGTCCTGGTATAAACCCAAATTGATTTTGGGTTATCTCACTCTCATCTCTTATTCTTCTCTCAATTATTTTGAATCAGGCTTTCATAGTATGTGATATGAGCTTTATTCCTCGATAGTTGTTCCTGAACATCCCCTTTATTGGGTTTGACACCATTCCTTTGGGATTACCTCTTCATGCAACAACATACTGAAGAATAGAGTCAGCCACTCATATCCGTCTTCTTTCAGTACCTTCCAAATATACAAATTGTTAACTGAATAAAAATAAATTATTGTAATTTTAAATATTTGGCAGGTTTCAGTTTTATGATTCATTAGTTAGCAATTCGGTAATTGTGTTAAAGTTAAAAAAAAAACTAACTTTGATGATGATAATAAGACAACCGCATTAAGAATATATCCTTTGTCACGGTGGACTTTGCAAACATTTATGAAACGGACACAAAGAACACCCAGACTCGGAACAATAATTTGTGGATGACACAGTGTTGTCCCTTGTGGTGATCGAAATCATAACAGTCAGCGCAGTACGAAACAAAAAATGAATAATTAATTTATACTTAATACAAACAATTTCGGTAAGTTTAGTGTTAGACCATCACGTTAAAGATAGTGAACACATATAGAATATTACCTTTGTAATCCGGCATGCCGACTGTCAGGGGCGAGAAGCGGCGTTAATATATTAAATAAAAGCATTTGTTAATGTTATTATTTAAATATATTGAGGTGGGAGCGAGTTCATCTCGGTTAGTCAAAGAGAGAGTTAGTTAAGAGGAGTTAGAGAGAGACCTGACATAAACTCACTCCTAGCACAAGCTTTTAGCTTTGTCAGAAGCGGAAAATCATATTTGTTAAAAGTATCCATGTTAATATTGTGTTAGTTGGATACCAAACAATATTCATGAGATAAATAAATAATTAACTACTTAGTCGAAAGCAAACATAAATAAATTGTACCCATAAAGTGCTATTAAGCAATAAATATTTAACATTAGATAACTCGCACTTCAGAAAAGCTTGAAGGTAGATATTTTAGTACCAAATATAGAAGGTAAGTAATGTTAGTAAGTATAGAAGGTAAGGTAGTAAAAGTGAGGCAGTGACGTACCTTGAGCGCCGAGCATGGTGGCCTTAACAGTGGATAGGATCTTGAGCTGAGTGCCGATGGTCGGGATCCTCTCGCACACTTGCAGCAAGTTCTGTCACAGGTTTAACAACATTTTTAACCATTCAATTTAAATCTGTTATAAAAAGACCATTTTAACATTTTGTTTGCTCAATGTGCCTTGAAATTAATTCGAGTGATTTTAGCACTAGAATAGACAAGCAAAAACCGAACTAGTTAATTTTATTAATTAATCATGTTTATAGTGTGCATATAGAGTAAAAAATATTTTAATATAATCTAGTGAAAACAAGTTGTAACTACTGCACCGCGCAATTGAATTCCCATCATTTGTTTTATATTTACAAACTACCCAGAAGGGATGGACGTCTGCTTCGTATTGTTATGTATTTCAATATATTTTGTAAATTAAATAGAAAAGTAATCTTACAGTCCTGATCCTCTTGTCGGTACACTCGAGAGCCAGTTTCTTGGCGAGGCGCGTCACCTCCTCCGAAGCCTCGGCGATCGCCTTCGCAGTCGCGATCAGCTCCCGCTTGCTACCTGTTGTTTGTAGATAAACATTTATTAAACTTACAAATATCATAATTATAGTTTTAGAGACACGTTCGATCGTCAAAGTCATTTGAGTGTAACCCTTTTGAAATTACGTCAAACTTAATATGTAGTTTGAAAAAATTACTTCTACAATGGTCAGTTTGTGGATTGCATCATTTCTGCACGACGAATCAATTTCTTTCTTCTACCTTAACATACCCAATAAACGAAAGAAACATGATACGAATGATAAACTTTGGCTTCACATGTAGCAATTTTCAACGTTCCTTTAGTAGCAGTAGAACGGCCTTTAGTAGACTACTGCTGCACTACTAAACGTTGACCTGTCCTCAGGAAAAAGGTTTTGGTCTACTACTCGTTTTCCATGCTGGCCAGACGGGTTGGTATAGGGGTGGCGTCAAGTTTGCCTTCTCTTCGCAGTGCTGTTGTCTCTCAGAATTTATCATGAATAGGGGTCGAAATCTCAGTAATATGGGGATATCTAAAGAAAAATTCTTTAGAAAATATATTTACAGTAACATTAATTAACCTGGGGATGTTTTATGTTAAAACAACATTTAAATGTGAAGTTAAATCAATAAATAGTATCAGTAGTAGGGGTTTATATCAAGCAGATACAGCTTCATAAATATAATAATTACACGTAGATATATTGTAAGCACAGAATGATCACTTACCGCTCAGGTTCAGAGCAACCTCTGACAATGTCCGGGGAGCGATGACAGAGACATATACAATGAATACATCAAAACGCATAGCTAGCGTGTTGGGCGCATATTGTTTAGTTACAAATTATTTCTAAAAGCAATGTAGTGGTAATCTGTCTTGAATTATGTAAGTACTTTTTTTTACTTTTTTAAAGTACAAAGAAAATTTAATTTAAACAAGAGAGTATCAAGGCGACTGCCACAAATTTTATACTAGGGAATGATTTATGCATAGAGGCATTTACCGATGAAATTTAGATTGTCTATCTGTCTCCCCAATTCTATTTTTAACGTGTCTTTTTTTCAATATGTTCTCGTCTATTTAGGGTAAAACTATAAAATAAAGATAAATAAAGTTACAAATACTAATCTATAATAATTTTACCACTTGAAGAACCACACTAATATTCATTTTTATTATTTTCTATATATATATATATGTCTCATAATATCATATTATCTAGGGATTATGTTAATATTATTGATAACGTGTGAGAGTCATCAAGCTAAGTTGTACTAAGTAGCATTTCTAGTGCGCTTGTGCGTCCTATGCGTTTTATAATTATATTTATAGCTTAAAATAAAATAGAGAAATGTGTTGTAATCTAAAGAATATGCGCTCAACTCCAATACAAAATGTCAGCATGAATAGTGCACATATATACGGCGTAAATACACAGTTTACATCATAATAAGCGATACAATTTTATTACAATATTTTCGAACATAGATCTGGAGCTTTGAAATGATACTGTCACACTGATGAAGGCGAGTATTCTACATTTAAATATTTCTACATATTCCGCTCACGGCTTATTCTCTTCCGGAGTAGGCAGAGGCGATAGAACGCCAGTTGGCACGATCATAATATAAAGCTTATGCTTCTTCAACATTTATCAAACCCTTCATAAAGTTTGGGCGCTTTTAACTATAGTCTAGCGCGATCAAGCCACTCTGACCAATTCAATTCAATTCTTTATTAATAAAATATAAGCATCACAGTGTACACCATATCGCTTATATCTATGCTAATTTTAACAAAAATAAACTACATACTATTACAATTGTAAAACACAGAGCATCAAAAAGAAACAACATAAAATTTGTAAACAAAAACAACCTTACATCAACTTAGGAACTATAAATCAGGTTTTAAACTTTCGTACGAAACGATAATTTCTTGGAATCTGATTGGTCAGGGGGCGGGGATTGATCCTGATGATTCTTTAATGTTGTGCTGCTCTGGTCGGTACACGTCCTTTTGAGGCCACAGGACCCTTTAATTTCCTTTAGTACTTGGTTCTTTATTTACAAGATGCCCAAACCAATTTTTTTGCAGCCTAAATAAGTTATTTTTATCTATTATTTGATACTGGGACACGTGTCATCAAATCAATAATGCAGAGCTATTTATCAGAAGGGTGCAGTAACGATAGTGTATAGTAGACTAAAGCCTAATGGAACATCACTGTGTTGTTACCTTATGGTGCTCTGATGAGAAAACCAACAAGCTAGGTAGCATATTTTGGAAATTACAAAGGTGTTTTCATCATCATTCACGTCCCTGCTCAAGAGCTATGTTGAAAGTGATAGAGTGAGTAGATACGTCTAGAAGTGTTAACACGAGTAAGGTTATTAAATTAAATACTCTTAAAGCATATTTTTATACAGTCAGGTTTAACTGTATAATTTATATAGTTAGAGTAAGCTACTTCGTGGTCTGCCCCGGGCAACTGATGTAAGCTTCACTAGCCCTGGTTTCTATTTTGGGAGACGTTGACGCTTTATATCAAAGTCCTGCCGAAGCGGGAATTGCTCCAGTTAACGAAATCACAGAGGAGAAACGGCGTCGACGTTGATTCCCGTCCAAGGGTTTTTTAGTATAATTTACACTTTTGTTTATTACAAATAGTGACCAGAAAAGGATAGCAATGGTGGTTCTTTAGCTGTCAGTTGTTAGGTTTCGGGAAAATGTTTTAATGTTTTACTTTGCTATAGAAGCTTACAGTTTGTTCGTTGCTAGTGCAGGGTGTTAATATATTGATGTGTTGTGATTGTGAGGTAGTGGTGCTGTGGTGGTACCTTTGGAGTCGGAGCGGACGAGCTCCGAGAGGCGTGCCATGAGGATGGCCATGCGCTTGGCGGCGGCGATGATCTCGTTGTCCTTGGAGGACCACTCGCGCACCGCCTTGTGCAGGTTGTGGGCCGCCACCTAAACACCGTATACAATATTTTAGAGACAAGACCATTAGGCTTCAAGTAAGTTCTACTATATCTACTACTTATAGATGATTCGGTTACATCCATTGTCATAATAATACAAAAACTTATGGTAACAAAGAATATTTATACAAATTTACAAATCCGTATGAATTTGTAAATTTGTAGTTGTGATAAATGTATATTTATCACAGTGCTTTATTTTGTGTTGTAAGCGAGTGTGTAAATAAGTCTTAAGAAAAAAAAATGGATACAGTTTTGGATGAAAAATTAAAAACTCAACAATTGGTTTCTAAGAAATGTATTCACATCTGTAGAAACGTCACTCACCAGTATAGGATGGCTCGGGTGTGGTTGGCGTTGGAATATATCCTCCCCTTCGTCATCCGTGTCCGCGGGAGGCGGGGGGCGAGGGGGCGGAGCGGCTCCCTGCGGGGGTGGAGGGCGAGGAGGCGCGGCGTTGTCCGACAAGTGCATCGAGCGGAGAGCCTCCGGTAGCGCCGGCGGGGGCGGCGGGGGGGCGTACTGCCCACGGAGCGCGGACTCCACGTCGCCCGCTGCGCTAATGATCTGCGAGAACGGTGATGTCATTAAATATATGGTTAAGGTTTACTAACGTGTACCATCGAGTGACGGAACTAAATAACGTTCTAGAAAAAGTGAGATCGCAGAACGTCGCAGGACGTTATATAAGTGGAAGCTACCTCTGCGTTGGCGCTGCGCCAGGCGGCGGCCTGCGCGCGCTCGCCCAGCGCCACGGCCTTGGCGCGGTGCACGGCGGGGGGGATGGCGGCCTGCAGGCGCTGCTGCGCGCCGCCCAGCGAGCGCGCGAACTCCGCGTCCTCCGTGTTGTCGCGCTCCGCGCCGCCCACCAGCAGCACGCGGTTGGCCAGCCTGCACGTTAGCGTCGTGATCACACACTTGTCGATCTTGCACTTACATACTTTATTGTCTTATACTTTAGACATAAACGAAAGTGTCGTTTGTCCTAGAGCACGCGTCTTCTTAGTGTAGAAAAAATTGTAAGAGAGCTGAAGACTCTTTCAATTTTTTTTAAGTATAGTATACTAAGTTGTCGTACAAAATAAACAGTTAAAATGTAACTTAAAGATCCAAGTGTAAATCAATAAATAAATAATAATAACAAATAATAAAATAAATGTAACACATAATCAGAATTAGTTTATTTCAAAAAAGAATTATTAAACTAACTGACTAAAGTCAGTTAATACGACATTAAAGAAAAAGCAGTCCAAACCTGGCGATAGCAGAAGTGTTGTCGACCATTTTCTGGGAGTCATTGTTGCGGATTGCGTCCTCGCACAAGTACGTGTGCTTCTGCATCAGCTCACCTAACGAACAAAGTTTACAGTTAAATAACTAGCAATTCATCATCAACAGCCTTTAATAGTCTACTGCTGACCATAGGCCTCTCCTTAGAAAAGAGGTTTTGGCCTACTATATCACGCTGGCCAGACGGGTTGGGTTTGTTTTAAGTTTTCCTTCTCTTTGCAGTGCTGTTGTCGGCTCTTACGACACCCACGGGACGAATAGGGGTGGTGACGCTCTGTATTCTAAATCCGTCACCACACGGACACTGCAATTACACGTAACTAGCAATTAACTTTTTTAAATTAAATAGCTGCCCCGACAGATTTCGTTCTGTCAGCGGCGTGCACAGGATTATGACACTAGGTATGCGGAGTAGTCGGTCACAAAAACTTTTTCTTTTATAGATTTTTAGCATAGCCACAGCCACGCGACGGATCTCTAAGTCGGAAACCATGCCAACAGAACAAGTCTTAGATGTACTACTATTCATGTACATCTTCAACGGGAACGCAGACAAAACAGCGATAGATCGTCGCGGCGGAAGAAATTCTAATAAGTAAAATAATAAGCTAAAATATTATAACTACTCGCCTAGTCATCTTCAATTTTCTGATTTTTACATATTCAAGGTTCCGGTTACATTTTCCACACGTACCTCACAATCAGATAACATTTTTAAAAAATCAACGGAACTCAGTAATAAACTGTTAAATGTACACACTTTCAAATGTTAAAATGAAAAATAAAACTATAATTATACTGGCGCAAACAAAATGTAAACAATATGGCCGCGAAACACACGAAACATATCTGCTATTTAAACGAACACTTCCGATTACTCCCGAACTAACTTCGGTAGCCTGCCGCTGGAGGCGGGGTAATAAAATAAATGGGTGTGTGCGTTTGCGAACTGTGCACGGACACCAAAATTACTACACACATACGAACAAATGTAATGCGGGACGCGACGGCATGAGTTGCTTTGCGCTTGCTTTTCGGTAAACATCTGGCAAACATAATGTTTGTGTGGTCCTATTTTTAAATAGTAGGCGTTTTTAAGTTATTATATTTTGTTTTTTCTTTTATTTACTATTAATTAAAGTCAACTAAAACGTACGAACGTTTTATTAAAATGTCTGTGAATAGCAAGTAAAGCACTGCATTTCTGCCTACAAGGAGCGCACGCCCCTGCGTTCTGTCAAAATAATAAATACATAAAACGTGTTTCAGAGTGATCACTTTTCTTTTAACTTTATTTTGTGCAGCCATAGATTACTAACGCGCCTTTGCTTTGTTTTGATTGCCGTCAAATTTGTGGTCTGTATGGGAAAACTGGTGGTATTACTATAATCCTCGCGTTCTAAGTTCCTCTTTACGTTGTTACTGTCCTTCTTTGTCTTAACGACAATTTGAAAAAGTATTTGCCGAATAAGTCGAGCCGTTCTTGAGTTTTACTTTACATATATGAATAGGTAAGTAAATTAAAAAAAGAAATGAGACATATACGAGTAAATTCATTTTGCTAGTTTTTTGCAACAAAATAAACTTGTTATAATAAAAAAAAAAACTGAATTACACTTTTACTGAAATCGTATTGAAAAAACAAAGAAACTGATGCTCGTTCACGTATTATATTAGTTGCGGTTGAGATGTAGACTTACCGGCCGTTCTCACAAAGTCGAGTGGGTCCACGGCTTGGTCGCACAGGTCTCTCACGCGGAGCACTGCGTCGGCGTACTGGGTTTTTAGATTGTTGAAGTGTTCCTCCGCTACCTGCACCGAGTAATACTGTTAAAGTCAAAATGTAAATATTTAACTGAAGTCATATTGTAAAAAAATACTGCTTAATCGTACCTTACTGTCAGGGTTGTAAAGACGAATCTTTCCGGCGGCAATCAACTGAGGCGAGAGTTTTTCAACCTGTCAACAGTACAATTAGTTAAGTAGTGTAGTCCGGTAGTCGCGAGGGAGGCGTGAAGCCCCCTTCACGCCTCACGTGGGGGGCGAGGTGTGACGCACCTGCCGCGCGTTGTTGTGCAGCTGGTCGGCGAGGCGCTTGTTGTGGCGGGCGCCGGCCGCCACCACGTGCGCGGCGGCGGCTGCGCGCGCGCTGAACGCGCCCAGCGCCTGCGCCCGCTCGTGGAACGCGGCCTCGCGCCCCGCCGCGCCTGCGACACGCACGGACCTCATACCCATGTGTATTTGGGATCAGTCAGAGAAACTGACCGAGACCGATCTGGTATCAATCAAGTCCAAATCTATGCGGACGGTTTCATCTCGGCGGTTTTAGAAAGGTGGGTGGAATCCGTTCATGAACTTAGGTGAATGTTGTTTACCTAAAGAAGTGGCATAGTCCTGAAGGAATAAAACTCCTTACTTAAAATTTAAAAAACCACTGTTTCATAGATGCAGACGTTTCGTATTGCAGAATGTCACCGTTCTGTCAGACAGAGACAGATTTTCGACCGAAAGTATTAACATTGTTGAATTAATTATTCCAAATTATATACGTAAGTATAACGATCTTGATGTGATCGAAGTCCTAAACATAGTTTATTTTCTTAAGTTTCCTTCGCGTCCGATTTATTTCATGCACTTTTTCTTTAATAGCGATGCCAATAACAATAATTCTTCTTCTTCAAAATCTAAAAGCGAAATGACGTGTACACGGGCAGTGTAGTCTACAGTTATGTGTCGCAGAGACTCACCGGGCGGCGCGTTGACGGCGTCGGTGAAGTGTCGCAGCGGCGCGGCCACGTCGATGAACTCCTCCACCACGCGGTTGACCACGGCCCGCTCCGTGCCGCGCTTCAGCTCGTGCAGCTTGTCCGTCAGCTCCCTGCCGTTACACATGGCCCAAGCTTTTATTGGAATAGGGGGCAAACCGGCAGAGAAACGCCCGCAACTCAGGAGTCACAATGTATGAATATTAACTTCTACATCGATACTTTTAATAATATACCGACAGTCAAAATACTAAATGTGAAGTGCTTATGCACCAACGACGTAAAAACACAATTTTTTACCATGGGAGGACCATGCTTCGACACGAATGGGCCGGCTTGACCGGAGTGATACCATGGCCTCACAGAAAACCGGTGTTAAGCAATTCTTTCGTTGTCTTTCACTGAGTAAGTGAGGTTACCGGGGCCCAAATCCCGTTGACTCGAGCGAGAGGGACTACAAAGGCGGCAACGCACTTGTAACCTTTGAGTTGCAGGTGTCCATGGGCGGCGGGTTACTTACCATCAGGTTACCGGCCTACTCGTTTGCCCCCTTATACCAAAAAAAAAAGGGCCAGATACAGATGAGCAAATTTCGCAATTCACAGAAGCGACTCTGATCTAATGTAATATAAATATTTGTAGTGTATATATGTAAGTAAGAACTAAATAATACTTATGATCCTTGCCCCGTGTTCGTTGTACAATACGCGTATCGGTCGACACATCCTGCGATCAGTTGTGTACGCACTACGCACTATATAATATAGTAAATGTAACAATACCCTACAAAACCAGTTTAGTTACAAAATTGAGTAAACACGAGTAATTTACACATTAAAACAATATCTATACTTCTAATCTAAACACACATACAGTTATTTAGTAAAAGCTTAAAGAATTCTAGGACAGAGGCTCTGTAATTGTGTCAGTCTCATACATTTCGATCTTCGCCAGTTCCTCCAGTTCAACAGTTCCTTACCTAGTAACAGCTCTAGCCTCCTCGCTGTCGCCCCTGCCACTGGCGCACAAATCCGCCAACTTGTCAGATAAACGCTGTACTTCAGAACATAGTTGCATTATCTCAGCCTTCTCTCGCCCTTGGAGACCGTCTGCAATCTACAAAATTGATTAATAAAGTTATTTACGATTTTTTTTTTAAATTAAACGAACCATAATAAATATAATAATGAAATTAGATGTTACCCTCTGTCCTTGAGACACGATGCTGTTGATCGCCTTCTGACCCTCGATCCTGGTGGAGGGGTCGCAACTAGGGTGCAATAGCCATTTGTGTGCTGTCTCTAACCTAGTGTCGTAAAAATAATAAAATAGATATATCATAATAAAAACGGTTTCCGTTGTACCTCATATTAGGAACCACTTCATCATTATGGTGTTATAACTAAAAAATATATATTACTAGACTTGAAAATTACGTAAGGGTATATTTGGGTGTAAAAACAAACAACATCTATAATAGTAAACAACCGTGTCGTCGGCAGGCAGTTGCGCACTCACCTAGCTTGCATGGTCTTCCCGCCCTGTTTCTCTGCTGCGCGCACTCCCTCGTTGACGATGGAGTCCAGCTCGTTGATCTGAGAGCGCAGGTCTGACGCCAGGTTCAGCGCCTGATCCACGAACATTCAACACTTAATTCATGTTATGATTTATCGGTTTAGTCTTTAAGGCGAAAAAGTGTTACAATCAAATAAACGTACTTTACATTTATTATATACTAACATACATTCACGCCACATTTCTGTGTGGGGTAGGCAGAGGCGATAGAACCATTTGCCACGATCCTTTTACACAAGCTCGCCGTTTACGAGTCATTTCAACTCGGCCCTTCTTCAGTATACTGCCGATCGTATCAGTATACGACTTTTGGGGCCCGCCCACTCACAGGAAACCCATGAACTCTTTTAGTCCTTCGCTATTTATATTTATTAAACGAAATAATATTAAACGATATGTAATGTTAGTTTAGAAGAAAAATGCATGCTTGTATTGTTATATTTAGTGTATACCTACAGTTAGATAGGGCCCGTATCCAGCGGCAGTCTGCGATATTTAAAAATGTTCATTAAAGCTTGGTGAGATTAAAGTTTTGTTCAAAGGTGCACAAAAATAATCTGATTTATTAGTATTTTAATCCAAATTGCAATTATTGTAATGCAAATTGCTATTAAAAGTAAACAAAAAAAACAAAGAGCTAAGATGTTATTCATGTTTGGTCATTTATTTTGCAACTGTTGTGTGAACTTAAAAACAAAGCCAGCTATTGTGCAACTACAGAACAAATATAGAACAAATGTAAAATGTATGCACACATTTCATAATAATTGACAACATTAATAATCAGCTGTTTTATTGTTTGTTTTGATGTTAATTCAATATATAAAATAAATAACAACAAAAACATAATAAGACATATAATACCTTAGCTTCCCTCCCGTGGCCGTACTGCCTTTCATCACAGAGTAGATCAGCGTTTATACCCCCAGACCTGCGACAAATAAAACAATACCGTCAACACATGCACACGGCAGGAGTTATAAACAAACATTGTACAATTATATTTTGTAAAGCTCACCATCTATTAATACTTTTTGAAGTGAAAGTAAATCGTTGTGATTTGAAACTCGATGAAACAAACACATAAATGTAAAGGATTAAGTCGGCGAGGGAATGAGATAGAATACATTACACATTATTTTTCATATAATATTTTGACAGTGTGTATATTTTAATCTTTTATTTAATACCATCTGGTACCCTAACTTGGTTCGCGTGGAATTTGAAAAAACGCTGCCTTACTGGGTTACTGCGATTCCCAGGGCGGGCAAAATTTTATAGGGTTTGTCTGATAAAAAAAAGCCCTAGTTACTCCGTCTATAAACAACTAGCTGGTTGTAAAATATTATCAAACTCTGTCCAGCCATTTAGAAGATTACCCGGAACAAACAGACAGACAGACAAAAACCTATTATTTTGACATTACAAACAGACACTTCAATTTTATTTATTTGTATAGAAAATATTTTTTTCGAAAGCTTCACTTCTGTCGTGTGTGAATTTCACACACGCACACATACACTTTTTTTATTTATATCTCTATTGTGTAGTTTTTGGGAGACATTGGAGGGGATTCGATGGTTTTAAGCCAAACATGGAGACTCCTGAACACGAGACTGATCACTAGATTGTAATGATACGCTTTGCTCTGTATGTTGATGAATAAAAGTACTGTTCAATTTAGACAATATGGATACCTACCTTATTATCTTATAATTTTGATACTTTAGTAAACGAAAGGCTCTGTAAAGTTCACATTTTTAGTTTGAGACTTGATTTAATATTCTAAAATTACCGTTGAATGCCGACATTCGGTATTTTTGTTAGTATATGCTCATAAAACTTTCCACTCGTAAATAAGTAGCTAAATTTATTTCTATAGTGTGCGGTGGCTCATGTAATTAGGAGTGGGTTTATATTGGAACCAGCTGACCCGCGCAATTTCGTCTGCGTCTCTCAAAAGGAATAAATTGTTCCCGTTTATGTAATATTTTTCATTGATTGTGTTGTGGCGTAGTGGTTTAAGCGGTCGCCACGCCGCTTACTACTATGCTGAGTGTTGTGGGTTCGATCCCCACATGGGACGACACTTGATCCACAAATCGTTGTTCCGAGTCTGGGTGTTCTTTGTGTCCGTTTCATGTTTTTTAAGTTCACCGCGACACAAGATATATTCTCTATAGCCTTTCTCGACAAATAGGATATCCAACATTAAAATAATTATTTAATTCGAACCACCACCGACATAACTTGTGTACTGTTACAACACACAAGCTATGTCTATTATCTCATAACAATGTGTACGGCGTTTACAGTTATGAAAGCAGTTCACATCTACTTAAATAGAAAGTTAAATCAGTGTAGTTGTTTTATTTTTAAATATTGTGTAATTGAAGTTTAATTGTTTGCACATAATATCATTAATTGTGATTACTGTAATACTCGCGAACTGTGGTGCAGGAGTGTTATATGTGGTATCTGGTTTTTGTTTCCTTAAATATTAGGAATATGGTGATGTGTGTTTATAATGTAATTAATCGGTAAACGTTTTGGTAATCGAAGTATAAATAGATGTAAGGTCAACCTTTTTACGAAAATTATGTTTTCGTTTATGTGTTAGTTTCAAACGACGTGCTCTGCCGGCGTAAAATTTATATCTAAGACAAAGTGAAAATTGTTCGATCGTTAATAAAATGACAAAAAAATATTATCTGGCGACTTCCATATAAAATAGAAAAAAAATTTAATACCATCTGACAGACACATCGAACTGTAGTTCGGTGTGTCTACGTCAGATGGTGATGTCTATGGATCATGGTCTATTTCAGAGTAACTAGTGATCCTGCATCGAGCAAAGAAAGTTATAGTGGCGACATCCCTACACTGGTACGTCACCTGGCGATGGTCCTGGCGCAGTCGGCGCTGTGCGGCGCGAGATGCTCAGCGGCGCGCTGCGCTGACGTCAGCACGCCCCGCAGCGCTCGCTCCCCGCCGCCGTTGCGCTGCGCCGACCCGTCCTGCACGCACACGAACATAGCCGCTCAGGACTGCACTGATACGAGCTGAGTAATGAGTTACCGCACGTGGACCGAAGGCTACTAACGTTCAGGAACTCGTGTGCGGCTCCCATCTTGGCGTGCATCTGCGCCTGCAGCGCCTTGAGCACGGCCACGTTGTCCTTCTCGCCGCCGTCCTCCACGTACGACGTCAGCTGCAACACGCTAACGCGCACACGCGTACGTTACTGTGCTATCGTTATCGACTGCGAGCTGTTTACATTACACGTCAAACGGATAACCGACAACTATATAGAAAGCCACATAACACATATGTATAAATAATTGCCTTATATTTAATATACAAAGCACGCAAAAAAAAATTAGTACTTAATATGGTTGTAAATAACAGCAATATTAAATATCGATTTTACTCGAATGAAAAAGAAGTAGACGGTTTCTCGTGCTACAAACCATTCTCAGTATCTTCTAGTTCCTCTCTATATAGTTTAGGCAGTATTGGAGATTACTGAACTCCGATCAGTATATACCTATACAGTAGTAGTATAGAGCTGGTGGCCTCACCTCAAAGTACGTATATAATTCCAGTCCGCCGACATTCTTTTACCTAAATTATACCCCCCCCCCCCCCCCCCCCCCCCCCCCAAGTTTGTAGTAAAAGTTATGTTCAGTAATTAGACTGGCAAATGAAGTTGTAGCATAAATCCAATTTATCTAACTTTTTAAAGCAGCATTTTGCCACAATCAACAATGTTCGGCCTAATATTCGGCGACCTCCTTTACAAAGGAATTCTTTACTATACAGTTCAATATCTCGTGTGAGTCTGGTTTAGACTTCTGCTTTCAGAATTATTCACACGTATTTTAATTTGATCCTACACGAATTTATATCAAAATAATTTACTAACATGAAACTAACATCTCGATTTATGAACTTACACTAATTTCCTAATTCCAGATTACTTATTGTCTAAACCCTCTTACTATTGTAAATATTTACATACATTCATCACATTATATTGTAGTAGCTCACCGAATAATCTCGTGTATCTCGTCAGCCATCCTCTGCGCTAAATAATTTCTGTTTTCAGCCGCCTCCTCCATACCTTTGCCGCCTGTGTACATAAGATACAATACATTAATATATAGATATAACTATGACAAGACATACACATTCACGTTTTTATCTCTGAAGAAGTAAACAGCGGAGTATTAATCGCCCATGACCGGGGTCAAAACAGTTGACACATATATTCCTAAATAAACATACTTTTTTCTAAATACATACATATTATAGACAAATTAGACCCAGAGACATCTCATCACACAATATTTGTCTTAGAAATGGGGCAGGTACCATAAACACAAGTAAACTTTGGGGAACGGCTGGTAGTAGGATAAAAATCTAAATGCAGTAAAATGAATCTGCACCTTCAGTAAGTATGTGTATGTATATCTTCATGGAGCAGATGAGTACTGGAGCGAGTTGCTTCACGCTCTCCAAACAATGGTTCAGGGTTTCTGCGTGCGGGGGGTGGGTGAGCTCAGCCGCTCGCGCCGCTACCTGCGATAAGTGATACTTTATAATGTACCTATGGCACCAAAATGGCACTTCTCCAAAAAACTAAATAATACATACAACTAATAAGCTTGTGTCCACTAATAACAAACTGCTTGGTTTATAGTTTCAAATTATAAATGAAGAGATATAGATAAGAAAAAACCAGTCTATTTCTCATTAAAGTTAAAGATTATTAATATTTTTAAACAAATAAATTCGAACAAAATAGGCATTAAGTCACGTTTTCATACAGAGCAGTTCAGGTTACTCCATATTGGTTTTCTTTTTTAGCATATTTTCTCACCTTAATACAATTTCAGTTGACACTGGACACAGATTTAAACAATTTTGTTTCGCAGACTGTGACATCATTCAAGACGCCATGACACTATTCAGCGTTTTCAAGGGAAATTTAAATTGTTTTTTTAAATACAAAATACGTTATGTAAATATTGCTCTTTCTTTAAAATATAGTTTTTTTTGGGATAAAATAGATATTAAAGTATATAATTAACCAAGTTTTCAAATTGAGTCAACTAGCCTATTATGATTTTAAAAGCCGCAACTCACATCGGTTTCCATAACTCAAACACGGATAGCCATACTTAAGTATATGTGTATCTTTGTTACATAGGTGTTTTTGTTATTCGTGAAATATTCACAAAGTTGCAAGTAAATGTTTAACCACAGCGACACACGGGTGTTGAAATCTATACTAATATTATAAAGCTGAAGAGTTTGTTTGAACGCCCTAATCTCAGGAACCACTGGTCCGATTTGTAAAATTCTTTCAGTGTTAGATAGCCCATTTATCGAGGAAGGCTATAGGCTATATATCATCACGCTAAGACCAATAGGAGCGGTGCACCAATGAAGAATGTTTCAAAAACGGAGACAATTTATTACTATTGAGAGACGCAGACGAAGTTGCGCGGGTCAGCTAGTCATAAATAAATTTATTATTGTGTTAAGTCGTTGTGCACCTCTCTAGCGGCCCTAGACAGCGCCGGCGATATGTCGCGCAGGAACTGCACCAGGTCCTCCATCGTGTCTATCACCTCCGCCACGCCCAGGTATTCCAGCACCTGACAACACAATAGAAGGTCACTCATTATAAAACAATAGAAATAGGAAAATAAAACAAGTGACAGAAATTATATTTTTGCTTTTATTTCTGTGCTTCAATGTCAGTACAAATATTTTAATAATAACATCTACAAACCATAGAAGCTTTTATTTATTTGAATTCCAGGGATATTTTTTTAGTACATATTTCTTTTACAGCATAGGAGGCAAACGGGCAATAGAATTATTTATTAGTCAATGTAGGTAAAATTCATATTAGATGTTACATTTATTATGTAAAATAGGTCTTATTTTGTTGCATGTTGCATTTAATTGCATGCATAGACATACAAATTTTAATTATTGTTTTATCCTAATCTTAATATCTAATAGTAAACTGCTGGACATAGGCCTCTCCCTAGAAAGTAGGTTTTGCCTACCACGCTGGCAAGTAGGGTTGGTTTAGGGTTTGTTTCAAGTTTTCCTTCTCTTTGGAATGCTGTTGTCCTGCGCAGTTTGTTTCCTTAGTCGGCTCTTACGACATTCACCGGATGAATAAGGGTGGTGACATTCCGTATCATTAATCCGTCACCACACGGACAATTTTTTTTTTAAAAAGACAATTCCCGCACTAGTAATATACCCTGTGTCGCGCGAGACTTTACAATCATTCATGAAACGGACATAAAGACGGGTCACATGATGGCAAGTACTTCCGCCGCCCATGGACACCTGCAACTCATGACCACCTTCGTTAACCAGTCAATCGGCACAAAGCAACATAGGAATTGCTTAAGAGTTTTCTGAGAGGCCGTGTTATCCCTCCAGTCGAGCCGGCCCATACGTGACGAGGTATGGCTTTCCTACGATTAGGACATTCCATATTCATCATTATAAGTAATACGTCAAAGTTAATAAATAATAACACAGTGTTTGAAAATATAAAAAAAAAACATTTCCAGTTTATGAAGCAAATAAAGCACAACAATGGTCAAGTTGTGTAACCAAAGTCCTCTCCCATGGTTCGCGTTTAATGCAAAGTCGAGCTAACCTGACTATAACATCTTATATTAATAGTAGGGTCATTTATGGATGAAACTAATGACTGTATTGCCGGATACAATATATACGGACAATATTGAAGGGATACAAATTCATGTACGATGTGTTCAGGGGGGAACGTCATAATCTATATATATAATAGGTCTTTATATATGAAACTGCCGTTTTGTATGCAATAAGTGAAAGTACTTATTTTTTCAAACTTTTTTATTTCTGTTATTCGAAGTAATCACCCATGCAATCGACGCATCTTTGCCAACGCATTGGCAGTTTATTGATGCCCTTCTTGTAAAAATCAGCTGGACGGGAGGCAACAAACTCTTCAAAGGCATTTTGTACTGCCTCTCGGGAATTGAATTTTTTACCTACAATTTCATAGATTCCCAAGATTTCCACGTATATAGTCACTCATCACGATATCTCTGGAACCATTAGAGCTAAAGACTTGAAATTTGGTAGGAATATTCTTGTCACCGAGTAGAGGTCAGCTAAGAACGGATTTTAAGAAAATCAATTTTTTTTTAAACAATGTAAATAGCAAAACAACGTTTGCAGGGTCAGCTAGTTTTATATAACTACGGTTAGGGTCAAGTCAAAGTAATTGGGTTTTCTCAATAAACTCTTTTTAAAATTATACCTTTTTGCACTCTTTAACAATCTTCCTAACTTCAGACTCATCAAAACACAGCAACAAGGCTGATGTACCCTGCAGGATACCGCGGGAGCCTTCTATCAGCTTTTTCCTGTAAATAATAAATATGATATAAACTAAAACTACTTTTATATATTCACACAGAAAATTCACATACTGAGTAATTATCAGTAACGAAATCATGAGATCTATTTAAAAAGCCACAAAGTCCAAACTCTCTGCACTGTGCAAAATGTGAGTAGAAAGTGACTCGTAAGGCAGCCAGATAGCGAAGACATCGTGACTTCAAACCCTTATTTAGTCTATACCATTATGTTTTATTTACTTACTTTACTTATTATTGTTTATTGAAGACTGCATCAAAATCAATACTTGGAAAATGAAATTAAGGTAATCTAACACTGACATGCAAAACGTGCACAATACCAATCATTTACAAACTATTTCACAACTGGCCATTGAACTCCAGTCGACGACAGACTACCAAGGATATTTAAAAAGTATTCCTGAAGTATAAAAGGTCGATGGCGTAAAAGCCTAGTAAATATCATTTATTACTCCGGATTAAGTTTAGTCAATAGTTACAAACACTACATGAATAGACAAACAATACATAGTGGCGGGATTCAATAACAGATCTCTAGCAGATACGTACGGAATTGACTTGACTTGACTTTATTCCCCTCTAATAGCTTATAGCTTAAACTTAATAATCGGAGAATATAGAAAATAATAATCGGAGTTCTTTATATAGTTGAACTAAACCTTAAGTATTGCGTCGATGCCAGGCAAAATTTGTTATAAGATACTAATTTTAATGATCATGAACACAATCAACTAAAGTCAAATAAAAAGTGGTAACGACCTTGCGGGTCCCGAGTAAGGGTCGGCCCGGAGCATGTCGGACGCCTGCTGTAGCAGCGTCGCAGCTGTCTCCACGCGGTGCAGCGCGCCAGGCATGTCTTGCCTGAGCATGGCATCTTCGGAAGACTCGATGGTTTCATGGCCAACCTATGATGTTAAACAGGCTTAGAGACTATTAGAATGAAACTTTTAATAGCTGTAACTACTATGAAATCAACTGGCCAGCCAACGTCTTTACCCAAATTCTCTTCAATTACAGCACGATTAACAATTACGCTATCTTGAAGCTACTTCCTTTGTCTCGTCCTGAACATCACTTACAATCCCAAGGAGAACTCGAACATTCTAATATAAATTTTGCTAACTACTAATTTACAATTTAATTGATAATACACAAAAGATAACGATATGTTAATTTACATTAGACCTTTGAGAGGGAACGTGGGTGAAGGAGCCTTGCTCTAATGGGTAGGCAGAATAAAATCATTATGTACTTACAATCTGTACTGATCTGCTACAATATTAAATATATCAAATTCTTTTCTAAAATTATAATTCTGATGTTATAGGTCAAAAATGATATGACAAAAATATAGTAGTCGTTACCTTGACGAGGTTAGTGACAGCGAGCGACACGGCCTGCACCGGCCGCGCCAGATCTGGCATCGCGTTGCCATCTTCAGCTTCTTCATGGAGGATCACCAGACGAGAAACCTGCGGAACAAAAAATTACGAGGATAGAGATATTGATACTAGCAAAGATTTAACAACAAGAACGCTTCAAGTGTTTTGGGTTATTTATCCAAAATACGTCGTTATTGACAGCTGGGGAACCACAACCTTATTTTTTATATCTACAACTAGGCAGACACAATGTACAATTGACATTTAAAGCGTTGTTAAAAGATTTAACAACCATTATATTCTTCACCTTTCCTTTACCTTTTTAAAGATAAGTCGGACATACCACTTAACAATAAGTCTTATCTGAAACTTTCACTGCACGAGCGCACAGATCGTCTCGTCCTAACATTCCACAGATAACTATACCTAGTGGAAGCAGTGCGCCGCGGCACTCACTGTGCGCCCAAGTCACGTAATCTGTCACATTGTTTATGTGCAGACGTGTAGTTCTATTAATGTTATGCAGTCAAATATTGTTTAAATATGATTTATAACAGAATTAAAATAGATAATGATACTTTGATAATAAGTGTTTGTATTGCACGTTAATAGTACAATATCGTTTAAATAAAAAAAAATAGTAATCTAATCTCTTAAGTCACTTTTCGTTATCAAAAATCTTCCAAAATTCTGTTCTAGTCTACTCTGGATCTCACAAATGTTAGAAAAGGTACACTCGTAGTAAAGTATTAATAAGACTAGCAAAATAACGATTCTGTTACATTGTCTTTCGGTCACAATACGATATAATCACATTCCAGTCAACGTTGAAGGTGGTTGTTTATTACTTTATTACGAGAATGCCTTTTATGACAGTTGTGAGATCGAAAGTACATCGGAATTGAATATTGAACGAATCTTTATTAGGAGAATTAACCTTTCCGTTAAGTAGTGATTAACGCAGAGACACAATACCAAGTAGCGTCTAAATACAGAATATATATATAAATAAGAAAAAGTATAGAAGGCAAAAGAAACACGACTAGCTTCTTTAAAATACTATTGCTTCAGGCTCAACCCACAGTAGGTATAGATCCACCTACAAGAGCGGACGGAACCTACTTTACAGTTGACCTTACTTCGTTGTCAAATATTAACGTTCCCACAACTAAAATCGCTTAAGGTAGTGTGTAGTTTACAATATTAAAGCAAACGTTTACGACACAGCGGTCGAAGCACGCGCAGATAGGCACCTCCCGCGGTCCCGCCATATATGGCGCGTGCTTGTGCACAACCTCGAGTGCTACATTCATTCATATTTTTTTGTACTCACTAGTACTACTAAGTGTTTAGTTGTAGAATAAATTATATTATGTACATTTAACTCGTGTCACGTCCGACTTACGAGACATTCTTGGTATTTTTTAGTACTTTACAAATACTACTTGTATACAAATTTGATACTTGTATAAAAATTGTATACAAATGCAAGATTAAAGTAACAATTATGTACGAAGCCTGTAAAAGAATGAACAATAACACGGATAGAGAGCGTCTATAAGAGTAGTACTGTTTTTTCTGATGAAGAGGTAGATCTGCGGCACGCTACCATTACATTTGCAAACGAATTTGTTACTTTTCCTTTTTATTAGAATATTAGTCAATTTTTAATATTGATCTATGTATATGATTTACATTTCATTCGAAAATAAACTCTCGATACTTTACCTTCTATTGTGGGTATACAACAACAGTTATTTATAGAAATGTATAATTTGTTAATCTTCATCGCTGTGCCAAAATCAATATTAATCTTTAACAATTTCAAGCGCACATACTTATACCTATCATATTACTTAGTCTTATTATTTTTGGTTGTTATTAGATTCACAGGCTTCGTTTCTATGTTTCACTATATTAAATGTTTTTTTATGTACCACAGTATTGCACCTACTATGCCGTATAGTCATCCAAAAGTATTCTGCAGGAGATCGCAGACTGCGACAAGACCGTTATACTAATGTTACCTAATAACATATTCCTTATTTATGTTTTTTTTTGAGTTTTAAAGTTAGAGGGTTTGTGTTTTTCGATAATACCTAACCATTTCGTTTTCAAGGTGACCTCAAACACTACACTCTCAAGTAACCCCCCATAAGCATTACCTATACTTATCCTCCCACTGTTCGTTCTTCTTGCATAGGTACCTCATCCTTTTTTATATAGGTACTTCCAATTTTCTCATTCTAATTCCAAAGTTCTCCGTTGGCAGCAATAAAAATTATAGGTATCGTAAGTGGGATAAAAACTATATTTTGCAAAATGTGGTGGTGAACACAGGCTTGACTGTACGTGTGTGTATGTGTTTGCGTGCAATAAATATTAATCCATTTTTTTTAATTTAACATTAAGCGTGCTGTCAAATCTGTCCAAGTATCAAAAACTTCCAATACAATAATACTAAACAGTCGAGCTTGTATATATTCTAACACCTCATTACATAAAAGCCACTGAAAAATTAATATAAACAATGTAGTATTTTTACTTTCACTGTCAAATTGTAGGTAAATCTAAAACCCTGACAACCAAAAATATGTTGAATTTTCTTAATGTCCATTGTGGGCCCGTCACTCAGCAATAAAACTTTGTTATCTAAGGCAGACGACAAATATTAGTTCCTTTCTTCGGATACATGACTTTTACAAATGACCCTCAGCTTAACGGCACCTGTGTTGTGAGGGGTTGGGCAGGAAAGGGCGCGGCATTTGTTTTTACCCCGGGCTTTATACAGCCTTGAAGACGGCTTGCAAAGACAATAGAGACCTTCTTATATCTTATTTTTGTTTTCTTAAATGCGTATTTTATTATAATTTTATTAACCAAATTGAATTACTTGGATCTTTTTTATTTACATACATCAGAAACTTGAAGAAAATAGTTCTTAACTGTGTCGCTAAGAACAATTCCTACCTGTATTTGTCAGTTAATTTTATTTATTATTTTTACCAGACCAAACCCGAAACCAACTCCATAGGTTAATAATTCAGTCTGTATATAAACTAAATATTGGAAGCTGCAAGACATCGTCGTCACAGTATCGACACGATCCAGTTTGTGGGTCAAGGTCTGGCGTCAAAACGTGTCCAACTAGCCTTAGATACTAGGTACAGTATTTTGTATCTAGATTTCACCGCAGGGATACTAGGTTATTGGAGTCTGCCTCGAGAATTCGATAACACTTTTTTTTTTAGGAGATTGTACCCTAAATTTACAATGAACCTATCTCTAAATTTAACTCAATTATAACTTACGTAGAAAGAACATAATTATTATTTGAATAATACTGCAATATAGACTATAGTCCAAAGAATGTATAAACTAAGAACGCCGCTTCTGACAAAGGCCCAGACATCATCATCATACCAACATCTTTAAAAATACATTTGAAAGAACTGCAAGCTTTTGTATCGAAATTTTATCTCTTTCACTAGTAACTTACATATTTTGCTCGTTACTTTCACTAGTAACTACACAAGTACAATTCCTGCTCTCTTGAAGAGACGCCATTTGGTATGCAACAAATTTTGAGTACTGAGTGCCCTGTTGGTGTAGCTGATAGTGATCCTGCTACGTGTTATTGCAGATATCGTGTGTTTGATTTCCAATCAGTACTAATAATCTTGATATAAGCACGGTCTATATCTAGGTTTAACATGTCTATAATGTGTATGTATTTTGGAATATACCAAGTTTGACCCCAGTTTCCCCTTAACACTGAAAGGAAAAAAAAAAGGGTAGGAAGATAATGACCAAGTTTAAGAATTTGTATGAACTTAAGTGATAAGAAGCGTTAACACGTCGTTTCTCAGGAAGACGTTTATTTCAATGCTTAAGGCAATTTTTAAACCGGTATCCTACATTGATTACATTATCCTCAGAGATGAAAATCGATTGTATTAATGGGTTATCCTCAAATGAGTAACATTTTTCTTGTTTTGTTTTAGCCATAAAATATCAACTAAATTATTACTAACCTACTTCGTTGGATTGATATAGGAACACAGAAATATAAGAAAATAAACTTATTTCAACATTTTCATAATTCGCTTTGGTGGGAACATGCTTTCAATGTTACACTTTTTGTTTTGATGGTCCTAGATATTTTGCATTTTATTATGCATATCCAGTTGGTAAACACACTTTATTAAAACTTCATCTTGGAAACGATACCTACGCGTGAATATACAGCAAATTAAAAACAGGGTGTCGTAAGCGTTATCTTCAATACGTCCACGGCCAACGCCAAGCGTAGGCAGTGACCATATGGTCAGTGACAGCTTAGTGAATATTTTTGTACTTAATATGATAATTAATTAATAATACTTGATCGCACGGGAGAATCAGTAATTAGGGAGAATCCACATGTCATAGAGTGGAGACTGAGATTAGGCAAACGAAAGAAAGTGTCTGGCAACGGATGGATGACCAAGACCGTGATAGTTGGAGCTCCTTGGGAGTCCTTCGTTTAGGCGAGAAGCAAACGACTTAATTTGAATTTTAGGAAACAAGAACAACAAACAAGAAATAAGTCACAGCAAAGATCAACTAAAACTGAAGTCACATGATTGAAGAGTTGCACCATAACTTAAACAGACAAAAAACTTACAGAAATATTTCATTTTAAGGCAAGAGGGGTAGCCCCGGCCAATATTTAGTTCTTGATGTTAAGACTATATTTATTCAGAGAAATACAAAGCAAATTACAAAAAAAAATAATCAACATTATATTTATTTACGATAAATATTAAAAACTTGAACTAACATATTATCAAATTCTAATTAAAGCCACTTCAAATACTAATCAAATTTTGAAATATTTTTAAAGTCACGGGTAGCTCCGCCTAACTGCCTCAGCCAGCATGGGAATCCTAGGCATCGACATATCAAGCAAAGTCCAGTTTCGGGGCCACTCAGAGGGATCCTATCTATCTATCCTAGCTATTCGCTCCCCCTTTCTCCTACTATTAGCGGGTACTGCTTTCTCTATCGGGATTCAGAGACGCAAGACCTAGAAGTGATCAAATCAGCGG